TAGTTACAAATCTCAGTAACTATCTGCTGACTTAAACTGAAAAATATCTGACCCTACAGAAGCAAAGATTGAGCAATCATGTTCTCAAGCAGTTTCCTGTTTATAAAGAGTAGTCATTCTTAATATGTAAAGTGCTAATCATACATTTCACTGATGAACTGAAAGCTCAAAATCACATGAAGTAAGATGTATGACGTTGCACTAATGAATTTTATACTCAACACATTTTAAGTGATCCTGCCACTCTTCCAGTAGCAATAACTATTGCTCTCTTCTGCACCTCCAAGATGTCAGAACAGTGGGGCATCTTCAGGGAACTGGTAACATGTGTTGCTCTCTTTAAACCAGTGACTGGTGCCATATTGTGTTAGAAATAAGATATGAATCAGTGCTAGTTTACCAAAGAAGGGAAACTTTACCAAAGGAGTTCAACTAGCACTGATTCATATCTCATTACTGGCACAATATGGCACCAGTAAAGTTATACTATTAGATCAAGCAGTGAAAGATGTTCAATTTAAGCATATTCACAGGAATATTTGATGAGATAATGAATATTAAGGAATTCCAAAACAACCTAAAAAAAAGTTGGGAACGCTTTTAAAAAACTGGGGGAAAAATCACCTCCACAGTATTCCATAGTATATATATACCACATTTTCTTTATCCAGTCTATCATTGATGAGCATTTGGGTTGATTCCACATCTCTGCTATTGTGAATAGTGCTGCATGTGAACATACATGTGCATTTATCTTTGTAACAGAATAATTTATATTCCTTTGGGTATATACCCAGTAATGAGATTGCAGGGTCAAATGGTATTTCTGGTTCTAGATCTTTGAGGACTCACCACACTGTCTTCCACAATGGTTGAACTAATTTACATTTCCACCAACAGTATAAACACATGGCATACTATCCAGCCATAAAAAAAAAAAAATGAGATAATGTCCTTTGCAGAGACATGAACGGAGCTGGAAGCCATTATCCTCAGCAAACTAACACAGGAACAGAAAACCAAACACCACCTGTTCTACCTTATAAGTGGGAGCTAAACAATGATAACACATGGACAAAGGGAGGGGAACATCACACACTGGGGCCTTTTGGGGGGATGGGGTGGAGGGAGAGAGCATTTGGCTTAATACCTAGGTGTTAAGTTGATAGGTGCAGCAAACCACCACAGCACATATTTACCTATGTCACAAACCTGTATATCCTACACATGTACCCCAGAACTTAAAATTTAAATTTAAAAAAATCATCTTCATCCAAACAACAAGAAAAAGCTGGATAAACTACAAACTCCTACCAGACAGCCTGAAATCCAAGAATGGGGCAGTCCCCATTCTGAGAAGAAAAAAAAGATTACAGATTGTCCCAACTGTAGTAGGGCATAGGAGGAAGGAACAGAGAAAAAATAAAAACATAAGAAGAAACCAAGTATAACTTTAATAATTTGCCAAAGACCAAATGCAGTCCAGCATAATAGTACAGAAAGACTGAGAACCCCAAACACAAGGTGAATTCTCAGACTCTTTTGCAAGGGCCCTCACTTTGCACATAAAGATTGGAAGAGGGCAAAAGACTAAAGAGCCTAAGTCACAGAGGAGGGGACTGATCACCACTGAAGGAAAGCAAGAAGGTCTACCCTCCTTCCCAAACCCTTTCTTCCGTAGAGCAAAGGACTTAAGCTGCTGCAGGAGGAGAATCAACCCTGCTGACCCAAGGACACAAATACACATCCATCCTCGCTGAAAGATGAGTAAAAGAAAAAACCCTCTATAACTGGGAGAGGGGCAAACAACAGTCCTTTCTCAGAGTGAGGGAGAAAACTGTCTTCCCCAAAAGACCAGCCACAGATACAAGGCTGTCATGAATAGGAGAAGCCAAAATGCTGAGAATGACCCACCCTCAAGGCCAGGCACATAGGGCCTACCTAAGATTGCTGCTGGACTAGAAAAAGAGAGAACTGGCTGGGCGTGGTGGCTCACACCTGTAACCCCAGCACTTTGGGAGGCCGAGGCAGGTAGATCACCTGAGATCAGGAGTTAGAGACCAGCCTGACCAACATGGAGAAACCCTGTCCTCCTCCCACCAAAGAAAGAAAGAAAAACAGAGAACTACCCTGCATCTAATCCCTTGAACTGAGTAACAAAACACAGTATTCTACAGCTGGAAGCAGGGCAAGAGCATGGAGAGAGGCACCCTCTTAAAGCACAAACGTGCTGTAGCACAGGAAAACAGGAGTAGAACTATTATATAAGAAAGCGTCTCTGGCACGAGGGTCCCACAATAAGCACAGGGCATCTTCAGAGGAATTTGAAGCCTATGAGGCACTGGAGGTAACCATAGCAAAAACAAAACCCAAACTCTCCTGAATTCCTAGGTAATGCAAATCCCACAATAAAGGACAAATAATAGAAAAGGGTGCTCATTTCAAGGTGTAAATACTATTTATCTCAGTATCTACTAAACTGCATATAACATTTGGCACCCAACAGAAAAAAATGACAAATGAAAAGAAAACCAGAATTATCATAAACAGGAATAGAACAGAGATGCCCCACTTGCTGGAATTTAAAATTCCAGACAGGAATTTTAAATAACTATAACTATGACTAATATTTAAAAAAAAAAACCTAGAAAGGTAAAAAGATAAAATGTGTTAATAGACAGAAATTTCAATAGAGATGAAAACTCTAAGAGTCAAATGGAAGAGCTACAAATAAAAAATATAAAATCACAGACGAAAAATTTCTTAAGACAGAATCATCAGTAGATTCAATAAAGCCAAAGGCAAACACAGCAGATTTGAAGCTAGGCCAATGAAAAATACCCAAACTAAAACACAAATTAAAAAAAAAAGTGGAAAAAAATAGAGTATCCAAAAGCTGTGGGATAAAACTAAATGGTCTAGCATATGTATACTTGGATTCCCAGATTCCTAGAAAGATAACAGAGAAGGAATAGGGCAAAATAAATAATTGAAGGAATAATAGAATGTCTTTTACAACCTAGTCTCAAAAGTCTTATACCAACAGTTTCACCATAGTCTACTGGTCCCAAAGACCTATCCTGACACAGTCTGGAAGGGGTCTACAGAAGGGCAAGAATACCAAAGGCAAGGATAACTGGAGACCATTTTGAAAGCTGGCTACTACAAATCTGGTGAATGGATAAACAAACTGGTACACCCATATTGTGGAAGAGTAATCAACAATAAAAAGGAACAAACTACAGATATGTGCGACAGCAAAACTCACAAGTGAATTATGCTACATGAAAGAAGTTAGACCCAATAAGCTACACACAGTATGACTACATTTATATTGGCATTCTGGGAAAGGTGAAACCAAAGGGACCCAAAACAGATCAGAGTTGTCAGGAACTTAGAAAGGCACAGAAGACATGAGGGAACTTTGTGGAATGATGACAATGCTATACATTTGATTATAATGCTGCTTACATGACTGGACATGTTTGTAAAATTCATAGAACTCCACACCTAAAAAAGATGAGTTTTATAGTATATAAATTATATCTGGATAAAGTGCTCATAAAAGGAGAAAGAAAGGAAACTTGAAGGGAAACAGAGGAGGCTTGGTTGAGAGGATGGCTATAGGAGTCTTAATGTGTAAATAATAAAAGTTTCTGAAAGAAAGATGACTGACTACTAAACAAATAACATTATAAAGTCCCTCAAGCTAAAGACATTTCTCTAACCTTGAGTCGGCAGATGAAAACTGCCTACCAAATTATGTGTTACGGGGGTGAGAAAATATATCCTGGCAAAAGTCATGAACTCCAGAATAAAGGGAAAAATCTTAGATGCATCCAGGAAAAAAACAAGTTACTTAGGGAAAAAAAAAAGAGACAGGCATAGGCCTTTCTACCTACAACATGGCAAAAGAAGATAGTGAAAAAGCATTCATAAAGAAAAAGACTGCCACTCAAGAATTCTGTCCCAATGAAAAATAAAAGGAAAAGTATTTTGGTTTATGTTAGCATTCACTTACCCAATTGAGAGAAATAGAGAAGGAAAAAAAAAATCTAAGAACCACAGCAGAGACAGGGGAGGAAAAGAGAGGAGACTTTATGACATATGTAGTTAAATCTAACTAGGGATTAGTAAAGACACTAGACAGAGACATATGATAAAAAAAAATTCCAGTGCATTAGAATTAAAATAAAGCATCTAAACAAAAGGAATTAAAATCAGACCAGTGTACAGTAGTATCTTTATGGGCAGTTTCACTTTCTGTAGTTTCAGTTACCTTTGGTCAATCATGGTTCAAAATATTAAATGGAAAATTCCAGAAATAAACAATTGGTAAGTTTCAAATTGTGCACTGTTCTGAGTAGTGTGAAGAAATTTCTCACCATCCTGCTCCATCGCACCCAAGACATAAATCATCACTTTGTCCTGCATAACCACACTGTATATACTACCTGATCATTAGTCATCAACATCATCTGCTCCTGACATCCAATTAATCAAAATCATGACAGCCTGCTGATCCAGGATCACCAGAAGCAGATGCTCCTCCGTCTAAAAAATTGTCAGAAGGTTAATAGTAGCCTAACACTACATCACAACACCTATATTATTCACCTCACTCCCTCTCATTACATAAACATTTTATCTCTCATATCATCACAAGAGGAAGGGTGGATACAATACAATATTTTGAGAGAGAGAGAGAAAGATCACATGCACAAAACTTTTATTACTTTCTCATTACTTCTATTGTTACAATTGTTCTATTTTATTACTGTTATTATTGTTAATCTCTTACTGTGCCTAATTTATAAATTAAACTTTATCACAGGTATTTATGTATAGGAAAAAACATGGTATTAATATAGAAAGAGTTTGGTGCTATCCATGGTTTTAAGCAGCCACTGGGAGGCCTGGAACATATCCCCTGGGATAAATGGAGATGACAGTATAAGGAAACTGCAAGTGACTATTTCCAACAGCTTTTTCATTTTTACCTGGTTTGCAAGATGAGAGTGACCAAACAGCTTGTGACCCAATTTCCCGTACTGTTCCAGTCCTTTCCAACTGCTTAGGGTCAGCACCAGGAGGGGTCTTGTTTGGTGTGGTCATTTTTTTAAATATTCTATGTGGAAAAAAAGAATGCACACATTATACCAGGAGCTGAGCATCTTTCTACGACAGGTTTTTACCAATAAAAATTTAATGGCATTCATATACCCTGATATTAATCATTTATTCTCAGATGCAGTTAATATAATTAAATCACTGTAATTTAACTCTTAGGTGCTGGGCATGGTGGCTCACACCTGTAATCCCAACACTTTGGGAGGCTGAGACAGGAGGATCATGTGAGCCCAAGAGTTCAAGACCAAGATGGCAAGACCGCATTCCTATTTTTAAATAAATAAAAATCTTAGGAATTCAGGTTTTATTTCATATGACCAGATATGCAAAGCAGCAAGCTATCGTAGTCAAAAGATCACAGAATCAAAGTTTTGGCTTCAGTATCTCCTTTAATTAGCCTAAACTTTGAGTAGGTCTGGGCTTTATTTCCTCTCCTGTCAAAGAGGTTCACTTGATGATTTTTAATTATATAATGCTGTGCAGTTCTATACTTCAGTGACTAAAAATTTAAATGACTTTTGACCTTAGACAAGTCAGTTTGAAATACTCTTATTCTAGGAATATGTAAATACTGATCCTCATTTTATTTATTCAATTTTTGTTTTTTTTTTTTTGAGACGGAGTTTCTCTCTTGTTACCCAGGCTGGAGTGCAATGGCGCGATCTCGGCTCACCGCAAACTCCGCCTCCTGGGTTCAGGCAATTCTCCTGCCTCAGCCTCCCGAGTAGCTGGGATTACAGGCGTGTGCCACCATGCCCAGCTAATTTTTTGTATTTTTAGTAGAGTCAGGGTTTCACCATGTTAACCAGGATGGTCTCGATCTCTTGACCTCGTGATCCACCCGCCTCAGCCTCCCAAAGTGCTGGGATTACGGCTCGAGCCACCGCACCCGGCCTCAACTCTTTTTTAGAGACACGATCTAGCTATGTTACCCAGGTTGGTTTTGAACACCTGGCTTCAAGCAATCCTTCCACCTCAGCCTCCCAAGCAGCTGGGATTACAAGTGTGATCACACTGCCCCCTACTAAGATCCTCATTTTAAATATTCATTAAGTGATACAGAGATACACGCCCTCTAGCTGTCAAAAGTTTCATTTAAGGCCGGGCCTTAAACGAAACCTGGTGGCTCACACCTGTAATCCCAGCAGTTTGGGAGGCCAATGTAGGTGGATTGCTTGAGCCCAGTAGTTCAAGACCAGCCTGGCCAATATGGTGAAACCCTATCTCTACAAAAAAAATACCAAAAAATACACCTGTAGTCCCAGGGAGGCTGAGGCGGAAGGACCACCTGGGGTGGGGGGTGGGGACACCGGAGGTTGCAGTGAGCCGAAATCGTGACACTGCACTCCAGCCTGGGTATCAGAGCGACACTCTGTCCCCAAAAAAACACAAAAATAAGAAAAAATGTTAAAAAGTTCCATTTACATATGGTCTTAACATAGAAGATAAAGTCAGGAAAATGACTTCAAGATTTTGAAGTAACTGGCCCATTCTATAAAAGTTGACTTCATCTTTCACATCTTTTGTTAATTTTAGTAAGTCTACGCAAACGTCAAAAAACACTTCAATACTGGATGGTGAAGAATATGCAAAACTGCTTTGGTAGCGTAGTTACTGCCACTGAGCATTATTATACTTTGAATTATGCTATTCAAAACAGGTGCAATACTTCTGCATACACTTTCCTTGATACTTCCCATGTATCCGAAGTTGTTCTCTAATCAGCACACAAGCACGTGATACTCATTAAATAACCGCAGACAGTGGACTGTAAAGTTTAGCTAGGCCTAAGGTTTAGATGCTCAATAGGTAATTTACTGAATGAATAAACAGATGAATAGGTTTAGTCATGAACTAGTTATTTGTCTTTTGCCTGCAAGTTAAGTGAGATCTAGGACGAGACTATTCAACTTGCAACCACTACTACTAACTGAATGTCCTGTCTCCTAAAAAAAACAAAGAAAGAATGTCCATCTCCACTTCAGGGCAGAATTCAACTGCCGGCCTTGGGACTGGACGCCACCAAGTGGATAAAATACGGAGCTCGGAGCAGATTGGATTCCCGGCTTTGAACTGACCACACAGTTGACAAGAAACTAGAGCGCCCAACAGCAAGCCGTGTCGGGACCAGACTCTGTTGGTCCTCCTGATAACTCTAGCGTGCCAGAATGACTAAGGCTCCACTCTCGACCCACTGGCCTTGAGGAGAGCGCAAGAGTAAAAAAAGATTGAAACTGGGAAGGAGAATGCATCTGTTTACGCTAGGACCACGCTCCACGTCGGAGAAAAGCCATCACACTTACAGTTTCCAGACCTGGCTGCTGGCCGAAACTCAGGTTCTGAGGACCTCCAGCAGCTACGTGCCACTCCCACTCAGCTTCCTAAGACAGCCTGGCTTCCCCAGCGGCGAGGAACAAGGGTCGCAGAACAATGACGTCATCGCGCCCTACCTACCTCCAGGGTTCCGCCTCACGCTCCCTGTCGCGCGCGCGCACTACATCCTATGGCTTGCGCGAGTGGCGGCTGGGTACCGCCATTTTGGCCGGTGGCCGTGAGAACACGCTGTGTGGCTGAAAAGTGAAGGCAAGAGCTGATTTGGCCTCTGTGCTCCCCTCCGCAAGGGGATCGTTTTCTCCAGGTACGTGAATAGCCCGGAGAGGTCTGGCTGTTAGCTGCCATCTGCCAGGCTGGAAAGACTGTAGGGACGTTGTCCGAGAGCCTTTGGTTAGGCCTCAGGTGGCTGAGACTGTAGCAGCGCGTGGCAGCGGCTCCTGCGGGACAGCTGGAACTGCCGGAGCGCGGGCGATGCCGAGAGCTTGGGGGCGCCTCGGTCTTCCCCTCCAGCAGACCTGGCTGTCCCCGCTGTTGCCTGTCACTCCCGCCGGGACTTCGACAATGGACCTAGATGCCGTAGTCTCCACTCCCTCTTTACCCCACTCCTGCCCTGGAGCCAAACCTGCTGGAGAGGAGGGCACCCTTAGAACTTACAGCACCCTCTAGTACCCCCACACTCCCCCAGCACACTAAAATGGATATATTGTCACGTGTGTGTATTTGCTTGTGGGAAGTCGTGGCTTCCACGTTTTGGTGAGTGAATGAGTCATGGCATCTTGCCGCCATGAAGTCGAAAACTCCCTGTCCACTCCCAGGCTTTATAGAAATGATGCCCACATGTCACTCTGCTTTTCTCAGAAACAGTGTGTACGCAGCCATGACTGGGATTATCCCCAGTAATTTCCCACTTAAAATCCTATACCTTTTTTGGTACACTTTTATGGCACCCTGCACTTTCTCCCCTTATTTGTTTTTCCCTTTATTGTATCTTATACTCATTGAAATCAAGGTTGGTGTCTTTACTCAGAATACCTTTATTATCTCCTCAGGGCTTCGTGCATTGTAGACATTTAATACATATTGTGAGTGAATGACAGCCGAAGCCTAATTTCCACCTCCCATTAACTACATAAGCTTATTTTCTCTTTTTTGATGGTAAAATCTGTAAAAGAAAGAACTGTCCAAATAACATGTTTTATTTTTGTACTCTTTCCCAACAGGACTGCTAACTAATCATTTAGGATAGTGGCATTTATGTTGCAGTAGTTTGTCCCGTATTCTGAGAATATTCATTGTATTCTGACACCTGACAATAGTGCTTTGTTAGTGTAACCAAAGGCTCAGAACTTGTATTTTAACCAGAAGGTGTTTGGGGTTTGTGAGGTTTTTTTTTTTTTTGTTAACTTAGTTCTCCCCTATTTTAAAAAAGGGGGAGTTTTTTGTTTTGTTTTGTTTTAGGAAGAGCATTTAACAGTTGGGAGGGAGGGGGAGAAAACAATATTTAGAGTTGCTTCTAAATGTCTTAAAACTCTGAAATGGGAGCCGTGTACCACTCCTAACTTATACGTGTTTTATAAGTCCAATAAACTAAGCATAGGTTATAATGTTTCATGTGATATTAAAGATCATTGGTTAAACGCAGTCTTTGAAATGCTTTTACACAGCATTACAATTATTTTGGCTTTAGACTGTAACATGTTTCCAAATATACCTCACTTCCTTTTTTCCTTTTAGCTGGAAGAATGACACTGAGGGTCATTGTTTTAGTGTCAGTTTTGAACAGTTTTTGTCTTCAAATCTGAAATATCCTCAAATCCTTCTTTGTTTGCAGGAGCCTGTTAACTATAACCTTCCTCTCCAAGCTTTACTGTGCCTAACTTTTCTGTTGAAAAGAAGTAGGGAATCCCCTTGCTCCAATTCTTGAAATTGATACAGAAGTTGAATTAAAAGTGTTCACACAGTTAATTAAGAGTTCTATCCATGTTCATTTTTCTTAAATCCACTGCAATTTATCACTATTTTTGTATAAATCAGTTGAGGAAATAAAGTAATGGGAGATGATGGGGTTAGATAATAGATTGCCTGAATGCTGATAAGAATGAGCAGGTGGAGAGAATAATTGATGATGTTAAAGACAGGAGGGAGAATAGTTAAGACATTCTTAGGGAATGTCTTCTAGTGTACAAATGGTCTTAGCTAGGCAAATACGTATACTGTGATTGCTGGTTGGCATAAGGGTCCATTTGAGACGATGAATTTCAAGGGAGACTCGTCAGCAGGTTTTGTGGGGTTTTTTCCTACCCATTTTCAGTTCTGTGTTTAAAGGTGAAGAGCTGAATTTAACCAAGGTGGTGATTGAGGGTATTTTAGCTGGGTAAGAAGAGAAATAAAAATACCAAGAGCTGAGGGACAGTGGAAATATGATAGAATCAAGAGATAGTGAAAGGTTTGGAGAATGGGAGAATCGGGATTGTTGGGTTGTTGTGTAGTAGGGGGTGAACTGAAAAGATACAAGTGGTGGTTGGAGAATATAGTATTTGAAATTGTGGTTATAGAGGGATTGCAGTTACCGGTAATGTTAAGGTTTAGGATGTAACCAGAAAAATAAATGGCTAGATAGATAAAAATGAATGGTAGAATAGAAGGCATGGTGTTGGAGGAGAGCGTTAATGCTGGGAGGTTCATCTGTTAGCATATTGAAATCACCAAGAACTATGTCAGGAGTTGTAGAAGAGTATGTGAAAGTTGGCAGAGGGATGAAATCTTCAGGGAATGAAAGTGAGTGATCTGATTGCCAGTACTAACTAAAGCATTTGGGTAGTTGACATGCAAAACTTTTTAGAGAGGAAGGAGAGATAATAGTCTAGGACAGTATTGAGGAGCAAGATGTCTAATCCCCCTCCAAGCCTAATTATACTGATGAATGTGAAAAAGACTTAAGATGTCTGCAAGGGGAAGCAATGTATCACAAACAAAACAAAAATCAGGATTGAGTATCACAATCAGAAAAAAGCCAACATGCTATCTTTCTAAATGGACAGTCTTGGCTTCAGATTCAATCATTACATATGGGAATAAACTTGGGTATTAATGCACTTTTTGGAATACTTTAATCACTATTTTAAGGAAATTAATTTCTGAACCACTAAGCCCAATATTGTAAAAGATTTTTAACTTCACTTTGATCTTAATGCTATGTAGTTGATTAAACTGAAATATCAACACTTATAAAAGCTTTAAAAGTGAGCATAGTATATACATAAAGTTACTTGGTCTCCTTTTAATTTCATTGCTGTTATAATTATTTCACATCTCTATCAGTGTCATTATAGTCAGATGTATACAACATGAAGTAATGCTTAGTTTGGGGGAAGGGCTTGTAGAATTTCCCCATCCTCCCTTTCACTTTTTCTGGTTATTAATACTTCTTTTTCCATTGGAGCTTTAGGTTTGCTTTGTCTGAGTTGGTTTGTTTTTTTTTTTATTGGAGACAGGGTCTCACTCTCATCCAGACTGAAGTGCAGTGGCTTGATCTTGGCTCACTGTAACCTCTGCCACCTAGACTCAGGTGATCCTCCCACCTCAGCCTCTGGAATAGCTGGTACCACAGGTGCATACCACCACATGCCTAGGGTTCTTTTGTTTGTTTTTTCTCATCAGATTGAATTAAATATATAAATTCAGGAAGAGTTGAAATCTGTCATATTGACTGTTCTTATCAAAATTGAGATAGCATGTCATTTGTTCAGGTCATTTATGTCATTTGGTGTTATTTTCAAGTTTCCTTGTGTATATAGCTTGTTAAGTATATTTCTAGATATTTTCTTTTTGTTGCTATTGTAAATGACATTTTTAAAATTTTCTTAAATAAATCTTCTGATTAAGGCATATATGTAAAATATGGTATTCCCAACCTTACTAGATTATAGATTATTTTATAATTTTTACTATTGTTAAAATTTATTTTGTTTTGCAGATAATTATTTCATCTCCATATAATGAACTGTGAAGGCAAGAAAACTAGTTTGTTCTAAATTCCTTTTATTGGATCCTATTTTTAAAAGAAAGACCAAATCATAGAATAATGCATCAGTATTTAAAAATATATTGGATGTGAACTCAAAGCAGAGTTCAGCTTACTGATCTTTTTGTCTTCCAGTCTTTTCATGCATGTGAATTAGTTCTCTTAAGTAATTACATTAAATTTGTTAATTTTTCTTTAATAGACGAGCTGGATATTCTTTCACACAGTTATGGCAGACAAATTAACAAGAATTGCTATTGTCAACCATGACAAATGTAAGCCTAAGAAATGTCGACAGGAATGCAAAAAGAGTTGTCCTGTAGTTCGAATGGGTAAGCTGTTCTGTGGATCATTTAAGCATAAAAGAAAACCATGAAAGAAGTAACTGGTTTGATAATTCTTTATGGGCATTAGCATATACTTTGTGTTCACCATTAGTTTCGTAAAACTGTGAAGGCAAGAAAACTAGTTTGTTCTAAATTCCTTTTATTGGATCCTATTTTTAAAAGAAAGACCAAATCATAGAATAATGCATCAGTATTTAAAAATATATTGGATGTGAACTCAAAGCAGAGTTCAGCTTACTGATCTTGAATTATACAAAGTCCTGTAATTAGTGGGGGAAGGGTTACAATAAACTGACAGGATTCTCATATTTAAAAAACAAGAACAAAGAGCTCAATAAGAATGACTGTTCATAAGGTTTAGCTATATTTTGATGATCAGATAAATTTCCAACAATTCAGTTGAAAAATTATTGGTAATCTTTTAGGACTATGTTAAGTAATTGTAAATGTACTAATGAAGTGTAGACTTACTGAATCTTAGAAGAAACTTTAGTTCTCATCTGTTATTGTCTCCTTTGCTATTCAGAAATTCTGTTATCCCTAATACCATGTTTAATTTTACCTGTATATTAGATAACTGCATATCTTTTTGGAGTTTTACTGATCTAGCTACAATTGTTCATTCTTTTCATGGTTTGCCTTACCGTTTTCAAGGCATATTTTGTTTTATGAATTTAAAATTTAGGCTAGCTTAAAAATAAAAGTATTTCAGGATTTGCCACATTTTTACTGGC